CAAACTGATTTTAATTTATTTTCTCTTAACTAAAGGATAAATGAAATAAATCAGTGGAACGAGTTCCACAGTGACAGCCATTAGTTCTAAACTGTGTTTCTGAGCGTCGCTCAGCTGACTCCTGGATGTGTAACAGCACCTCCTTGCTGACCTCATGGGACATCTCTGCAGTAACTCAAACAGTCTGAAGACACAAAGGAGACGGAGGATCACGTTAACCAAGTCCACAGCCCTTCACCCCACCTCACCCCACCTCACCCCTCCCTCACCGCCCTCTGCCCAGCACAGGCCGGTTCAGACTGAAATAAATATTCCCCTACGGGTCAGAGACTGACTCGAGGCACTTTTAAAAGAACATTGACGGTTGATGGAAACACACGTGCTCTATGTTTTTTTTAAGTCTGTGATCCTACTTGTTTTTCAGTGTCGAAGTTAACAAATGCAGTATTCTGGTTTACGATAAATGAACCAAGTGGACCCCCTGGAGTGCTTGTTCCTGCTCTTTGTGCTCCTTTTTTGAGTTTTTACCCTCATGAGGGCGCTGTGGACAAGAACTAACTAACTAACTTTATCGGAAATAAAGACAATAATTTTTTTTTTTCTTAGGTCGTTTTCACACCTGAAAGTCTGAACCATGCTTCATCATCTTTGTTACATTGTTAACATTTGATCTGGTTAGTTTTAGTTTCACATTGTAATGTATGGAGCAGACTACTGAATGTTGTATGACCTGTCATCTTCTGCTGCGTCTACCTATACTTGACATTGATTGGTTTGTAGACGTGCGGCTGACGTCAGCGTGTAGTCATATGAACAAGTAGTATTCTTTCTGTTTGAATAAGGAAAGTGAATGAACATTTGTTTAATTTGTTTGCCGTAGTAATCATTAAGGTAATCAACAAAATGAATGTCGTCATTGTCAGAGGTGAAGACTACAAGCAAGTCACATCTGTCTTCTATCTATGTCTTCTATCTAACTGCAAATGATCCACAACATGGTTCACTTTGATCTGGACTGATTCCACCTCTTCTGGTCTGGACCACGGTCTGAGGCACAGTTCACATATGTTGTTCTGGTTCAGACCAAAACTGAAACGTCTGAAGGTCCAGACCAAACAATGTGGTTTGAAAAAGTTTATCTTATTAATTTGAATCTATTCACGAAAGTGTGACTGTTTCCATTTATTTAGTATACATTGTTTATCAGTGAGTTTCTCAAGCAACAAAGTGATCAAAGTATGACAGCATGTGTTGAGGATGGAGGAGATATCCTTCTGACCTGTTTCATTATTTGAAGTTATGAAACAATATCTCGACACGAGTCATTAATCAATCAGTCAGCATCATCCAGGCTCTGAGAGAAAGATGATATCTCAGTGTGAGTTCATAGTGGGCACATCGGCTTGTTTCTTGCTCCTCATTTGTTTTGGATGGTTTCGATGGTGGGAGAGCAGAGGTTGAGGTCAGGATGCCTCTGGTCCACCACAGGCAGACTCAGCTTCACACTGTGACAATGAGCAAATAGCATGTTTAGGCTTCATGCCTGAGAGACGGAGGGCGAACCCAGACTCTTAACATCCTCTGCTCTCAACCACAAACAGCTGAAGTCCTCCTGCAGGATTTGTCAACACATCCTTCCACATCTCTCCCTGCCTCTGTCTCTGTCCCCCAGGTCCCGGCCGGGCTGCTGGACTCCCTGGCACCAGAGTCTGGCGCTTGGGAAGATCTATATCGCCAAGATATGAGCAGGAGAAACTCCACCCAAGAAGCCTGGTGTGTACACACAAACACACGCACACACACACACACACACACACACAAACCTAATACATCCTCTCAGCTAATCATTCCTTGACGCCACAACAACACAAACATTCCCAGGACAGAAACACTCCTCCTCCGACCTGCTGCTGTTTTTAAAGCTTTAAATCTTTGCTGACTCTGACACCAAACACAGCTTTGCTTTGTTTCTCTGATCTCTTGTTATTTTTGGATTGATTGTTTTTCATTATTATTGTGGACATCATACCATATATACAATAAAAACACACTCTGCCTTCTTTATTTTTTAAATAAAACTTCCTGAGGAAAAAGCCATCTCCACAAAAATAAATATAATTATTGCAATGGGCAATGACAACCTATATATACAATGCGAACACTAATGAGATAAACAAACAGCATGCAGATACATAGACAAATTGAAGTTAAGCAAAACAATAAGATTCCGATTTTTTTAAATCATGGTAAATTTTGTTGATTGATTTGAGTGTCAAACTGTTATGTACAACAACAAAGATTCACAGAACAAA